ATGGTGATATTCGGAATCAGCATCGTCGACTACCTATAGTCCACTCGGTTTCGTTGAAAAAGCGATTTATCAGTTGGGGTACTTCCCTCGTCAGTAGACCATTTTTACATTTGACTTTATTCAATCAACAACACATGCTAATGGTTTATTATCCAATACAATGACTAATTATCAATTAAGATTAGTTTCATTTCTTGACGTTCTTTATTATCATCTAACAACTCAGCTATCACAGTATAATCAAGGAAATTGCACATGTGATAATCCAACAAAATGTTTCGAATTATCAGCAATATATAATAGTAATTTTTCTATTCAATTTCAATTACCGGGCTTTTATTTAGGTTGTTCAAGATTCAAATAGTGCCAAATATGGTTTGATTTACGCGTAATTTAATGGCTCTGTTTGTTACAAGTTGCGATATTCTCGGAAATTTTTAAGTTTCCCATACCCAGTCTCCAAAATGCATGAAAATTCCGGAAATATTCGTCGACATACGCTGCATCTATGGTGTATGCAATTTTATTCATTATTCATGTGAGTAAATTTTCACTACTTACTTATACTTCTCATCATATCTCTTCTATAGCTTTTCAAAAAAAACACTTTTAATTAGGGGGAAAAGGAAGAAGTTTCATTATGAAGTTTTCTTCTTTTGTTGCTATTGTATAGTCAGAGACCATACAGGGATAGTAGACAAAAATGTCCATAAAAGATACATATAAAACTGTCAAGAATAAAGTATTAAAATATAATTTATTTTCTGATTATCCACCCACAACCGATGAACATGATTTAAAAACAGAATTAATATCAACACGTTGTTATTTGTTCATATTTGTTTTATCGTTGATTCTTCTTCTTCTATACGGAACTGTATTACCACGTACGAAAACAGTAATAGTTCAATTACCAACACAAGAACAGTATATACACTTGTATGAACAACATTCACAAACATTAATATGTTTATGTTCATTAATTGCTGTTCCATTTGGAAAACTTATTACACAATTTACACCAACTTATCACGAAGTTTGTTCATCACAATTTGTTCATGATGAATGGATAAAATATCTTAACAGCGAGCCACAAAGTAAGAAAAAGAGTGTGTAAGAGGGAACAGTGATCTACTACAACGTTAATTATAACCTGCTGACGTTCTTCTCTCTCGG